CACAAAGGCTCTCCACAAACAGCGTGCCGTCGCGCAAACGCCGCCTGGAACCACAACGAGACCAGCAAGGACAGCTGACGCCCACCAAGACCCAGCCCCGCACACAGACAACGCAAGTAGCACAGGCAGAGCCTGCAGCGAAGCGCGCAAAACACGTGTCGGTGAGCAGCCACGTGTGCACAGACCACAAACAGAAAAGGGAACAGGGAAGTGACAAGGGTCTAGCGCCAAGCGAAACCCAAACGGGCACAAACGCCAAAGCCAGGACAGCGCCGTCGCCACGAGGAAACGCGCAGGCAAAGCCGCAACAAGAGACGCAAGCCACCCCGACACCCGCGCAGACGACAAACGCACCGCCGGCAAAGTTGGCTGGACAGACGGCCGCCGAGGAAATGTTCCAATATGCGTGTCCTTTTTGTGCGGTGTCTGTGACCAGCACTGTGCGCACAGGCCAAGTAGATCACCGCCGTGCATGCGGGAAGTTTTTTCGTGTCAAAGACGGGCACGTTGCCGCCAAGAACTTAGTCTATGCGTGTCCATTTTGCGATGGAACTGTGGGTAACGTGAGGACAGGGCGGATAGATCACCGACTCGTGTGCGGCAACCAATTCTATGTGAAAGAAGGCACGGTTAGCGCGCTGACGCGGCAGCATCCGCATACATGCCCAGCGTGCCAGACTGTGGTCTGGTCATCACAGTTGTTTGGGCGCGTTCGGTGCCAACACAACACGCCAGCGGGAAAACCATGCCCGAAAAACACGTGGCAAGTTCAAGAGCGCAAGCACGAAACAAAGAAATAGAGTATAGACCAATCATCCGGAAGCCATGAAACCACCGGGCAAACGGGAGCCGCGCAAGGCTGTGGTGCAGGACTGCGCCTGGACGTTGCCTTCGGGACCCTAAAGAAAAGACGCGCAGTCCGAGGTGGCAGCTTCCAGACGCTCGGTTCTAAGGCTGCAGTGCACGGGCTGCGCGTTCCAGAGGCTCCCTCCCCAAGCTCCCGCCTGACGCAGGCAAGACTGCGACGCAAAAGGCGCTGCGGAGGGTTTGAAGGCGCCTGGACGTCACCTTCGGGACCCTAAAGAAAAGAGAGGTGACAGCTTCCAGAGGCTCAGGAGGGTCTGTAGGCTGCATGGCTTCGGACAGGCTAGCTGTAGCCTGGCCAAAGGCGCTGCGGAGGGCTTGAAGGCGCCTGGGCGTCACCTTCGGGACCCTAAAGAAAAGAGGCGCAGGCCGAGGTGGCAGCTTCCAGAGGCTCGGTTCTAAGGCTGCAGTGCGCGGGCTGCACGTGCCAGAGGCTCCCTCCCCAGGCTCCCGCCTGACGCAGGCAAGACTGCGACGCAGGAGTACGCCAAAGGCGCTGCGGAGGGTTTGAAGGCGCCTGGACGTCACCTTCGGGACCCTAAAGAAAAGAGGTGCAGGCCGAGGCGACAGCTTCCAGAGGCTCAGGAGGGTCTGTAGGCTGCATGGCTTCCGACAGGCTAGCTGTAGCCTGGCCAAAGGCGCTGCGGAGGGTTTGAAGGTGCCTGGACGTCACCTTCGGGACCCTAAAGAAAAGAGGTGCAGGCCGAGGTGGCAGCTTCCAGAGGCTCGGTTCTAAGGCTGCAGTGCACGAGCTGCACGTTCCAGAGGCTCCCTCCCCAGGTGCCGCCTGACGCAGGCAAGACTGCGATGCAGGAGTGCCAGAGGCTCCCTCCCCAGGCTCCCGCCTGACGCAGGCAAGACTGCGATGCAGGAGTAGGCCAAAGGCGCTGCGGAGGGTTTGAAGGCCCTTGGACGTCACCTTCGGGACCCTAAAGAAAAGAGGTGCAGGCTGAGGTGACAGTTTTGAGAGGCTCAGGAGGGTCTGTAGGCTGCATGGCTTCGGACAGGCTAGCTGCAGCCTGGCCAAAGGCGCTGCGGAGGGTTTGAAGGCGCCTGGACGTCACCTTCGGGGCCCTAAAAAAAAGAGGTGCAGGGCGAGGTGGCAGCTTCCAGAGGCTCGGTTCTAAGGCTGCAGTGCACGGGCTGCACGTTCCAGAGGCTCCCTCCCCAGGCTCCTGCCTGACGCGGGCAAGGCTGCGATGCAGGAGTAGGCCAAAGGCGCTGCGGAGGGTTTGCAGGCGCCTGGACGTCACCTTCGGGACCCTAAAGAAAAGAGGTGCAGGCCGCAGCTTCCAGAGGCTCAGGAGGGTCTGTAGGCTGCATGGCTTCGGACAGGCTAGCTGTAGCCTGGCCAAAGGCGCTGCGGAGGGTTTGAAGGCGCCTGGACGTCACCTTCGGGACCCTAAAGAAAAGAGGTGCAGGCCGAGGTGACAGCTTCCAGAGGCTCAGGAGGGTCTGTAGGCTGCATGGCTTCGGACAGGCTAGCTGTAGCCTGGCCAAAGGCGCTGCGGAGGGTTTAAAGGCGCCTGGACGTCACCTTTGGGACCCTAAAGAAAAGAGGCGCAGGCCGAGGTGGCAGCTTCCAGAGGCTCGGTTCTAAGGCTGCAGTGCGCGGGCTGCACGTGCCAGAGGCTCCCTCCCCAGGCTCCCGCCTGACGCAGGCAAGACTGCGATGCAGGAGTAGGCCAAAGGCGCTGCGGAGGGTTTGAGGGCGCCTGGACGTCACCTTCGGGACCCTGTAAAGAAAAGAGGTGCAGGCCGAGGTGACAGCTTCCCGAGGCTCGGGAGGGTTTGTAGGCTGCATGGCTTCGGACAGGCTAGCTGTAGCCTGTGCTAAAGGCCACAAAGGTGGAGATGCCAATGCCAAGGTTGCACCCTGCGGTGTCCCAGGCGCCTCCCGCCTAGGCTGGGGTCGGCGGATTCTGCAGATGGCTCGATCTTGGATGCAGCCCTCTGTATCGGTCGAAGCTTGATGTACTGCTTGTACCAGGATCTCGCTTCGCTCACCACCAACTCCCACCACTCACCCGACGAGTCGCTGAGGTCTGTCATCGCCGGTTCCACCATGGTGAGCCAGTCGGCCGAGTCGATTGAGCCGTGTCGGATGGCTCTGCCAGGACTGGGAGTGTGACCGTTCCCGGCTTGACCGACTCGGGTCCCTTTTGTTTCTTCTCTTTGTCCACCAAGTATGGACATGGCATCGACCATGCCGCCTCCACCTTCACCAGATGGGTCTTCCCTGGCGGGTGCAGCAGAAGAACGACCAGGATGTTCAGCAACAGACTTCTTCTTCGCCTGGCCAACTCCCTTTCTAGTTCCTTGCCTCCCGTCCGGTTCGAATCCCTTCGCCCGAGTTGCCACCAAGCCGTCAGGTTGACCTCCTCCTTGACGAGCGGTTCTTGGACCTTGAGATCTCGATCTCTCTCGTTGCCCTTGCCCTCGACCACCTCGCTTCGCCGGCGTCGGAGTGACCGTCCCCATCAAGGATTGGAGCTGCTCGAACTGCTGCATGGGGGTCAACTCGTACAGGCGACGTCTTTCCACCTCCAAATCCGTCTCTTTTGGGGGCTCATCTCCAGCTGTCGCTTCACAGACTCATCGCTCTCTGGCGTCCTGAAGGCCTGCTGCTCCAGCTCACGTTGAAGGTCATGAACCTTGGCTTCCAGGCTCGCCCGCTGGTACTTCATTGCATCCATGAGCTCCGCCTGTTGAATCTGTAGTTGTTGATTCTCTTGTTTCAACATCGCCAACATGGTCATAATTTCTTGCGGGTTCGGCGGACCAGGGCCATATGGATGAAGTTGAACCTGCCATCCACCTTGATGCGGCATTGGTCCTCTCCTCTCTTCATGAGGCATGATGTAACCCGGTGGCCCATTCTGTCCAAAGCCCTTAGGAACATGTAAGCCTCGTCCTCCAGGTCCATTGCCGTGAACTTGAACCATCATCTGTTCTCAGATCGGGACTTGTTCTTGACCATCACTTTCGCTTCCAGGTTCATGTGCTTCAGGTACCCGTGGTTCTCTAGGTCGCCCACGTCGCTGGTCCTCTTATACATGATCTCCTGCTAGCATAGGTGAAGGTGTCTCTGTCGTTGTACTCGTCTGTGGAAGTGCCCCAGCCATACCTTCTTCCTTTGGTAGGAACTGCGGCCTGTCCCTTTTCACTTCCTCCGGAGATCTGCTCGCCATTCCAGGCTGCCAAATACTCTGCCTCGGAACTTGAGCATATAGGTGAGGAGCTTGGCTCTGCACTTCATGAAGTCCCTTCAGCTGTTCCGCCGTGAAGAGTGGGGTCATCGGTGTCAAGGTCGTTGGTGGTCCTTTTGGCCCCTCCAAAGCCTCGTCTTCCCCACCATCTTCACCATCCTCCAGAGCAAGTTGCTCTTCTTCCAGCTGCCGATCTTGTAGATGGAGGCGTCCTTGATCGTCAGGATCATCTTCTCCACCTTCGCCAGGCACCTGACGTCGGCGCCTCGCCATGACCGACATGGCTTCACTTGCGCAGGGCGGCCCAGCGATCAACCTCCTCAAGCCGGGTCTTACGCCTTCAACCTTGGGCTCATAACCTGAAGGTTTCAGCCTGAAAACCTTTTTCAGGCTTGTGCAAAAGCGGCTTCCAACCGTCTCAGTTGGGTTCGTTTCAAGTGTCCGTTTTGGTACACCTTTCGTTTTGTGCGTGTCATCCTTTGCGGACCAGCAGGTTTAATAAAATGAAAAAGCAAGAAGAAAGCATGCACTGCCGGCATGTAGCCAATGTTACTATCACGAAGAAGGATTGTGAAGTATGACCTAGCTTTCCAAAGTAGTACACGTGCAAAGTGTTTCTTCGTGTGACCCAGTATGCCAGGTGCTTCACAGAGAATCTTGAGGAACACGCAACCTGTACATGACAGACCTAAACATGTAGCGACGTACTAGGATACACACTTGTGTTACGGGGACTCTTGCTATCACGGCTGAGGTGTTCTGACAGATGGGGATCTATAATTTTGGGGCTCCCCTGTATGTTTTCTTTCAGTTGAAATTCAGGAAACTGAGGATCACCATCGCATTTCTTTTTCATGTGCACTTCAAGCACCTGCGATTCACTTCCACGTGTTTACAAGCAAGCTGTCACGGCAAAAGCTGCTACAGGAGAAGAGGGGGTCAGATCCACTGCGCACATGCACTTGATGAGGGAAATCTCTAGGGGGAGAGCTGCTGAGCTTGGAACCCCGCTGCCACTTTGCCAAGCTTACAGTTTCACAACTGTTCGTTGAACATGCTTGCATTTGTGTTTTCGTTGACATTTGTTTGCAGTGCGGACAGTTTCCCGACAAAGGTATAGCCTCTTGAAAGAAAGGGCCAGGCTGTCGGAAGTGGAAGCAACTTGGCTTTTGGGTCCATGGGCCATGGTGAGATCTGCACATTCAGGCACTGAGAAACCAAGAGGGTTCCATGTTCCATTTGGTTGCCTGCATGTGAGGACCGAAGCTTCAAGTTGGCCCGCGTCCGAGAGATGCAGACATCCCGCATGCTGGAAAAGGAAATAAGCCAAGAGGACATTCCTCCTGTGCCTGCTGTCTCTGGGCCCTTTCGCCGCCCAAGCGTCGTAAGACCTTCCTCACCTTTGCAAGGGCCCCTCAGAGGCAAGCCGTTGTGTGACAGTCGCCAGCATCAAAATCGACTCTAAGATATTGTAAGCATTTTTCCCCACCTCCTAGGCGACAGGCGGCGACAGGTGAGGGTCAATTTTAACTAAAGGTGCTGCTCTTTCCTTCGCTCCTTCAGCTTGCCTTTGGCCATCGCGCCACCGCGGGTGCCGGCTCAGTTGGGCACGGACCTCTGCACCATCAAGTCCGCCAGTTCAGTCTGGGCACGCGCGGATCTGAACGCATGCCATTCCAGATGTCCAAAAGACTTGCCAGGTGAAAAAACTCCGAATCAGCGACCACGAACCAGCGATTCCGAATCAGCGATCATGTTCCACGAAACAGCGACCAGTTACCCCGCGACAGGGCTTAGCGTTTGTGTCTTGGGGCTGGGCTTCACTTCTTTAGGCTGTCTTTGGGGTTGGCTTCGGGCTTTACCTCTTTAGGCTTTCCTTTGGGTTTGGCTTGGGGTGTCTTTGGGTTTGGCTTAGGGCTTGTCTTCTTTGGGGGCTTTGTTTGTTTTTTTCCGCGGCTTTTTTCCTTCAGCCTTCCGTGATGACCGATTCGGGTTGGCTTGGCTTGGGTTGTTCTGGTTGCAGAAGCTTTCGCGATATCTCGGGGTTTGGCGACCGATTCGATTTTGTTTGTGACCACTTCGGCGTTTTTGGTGACCGACTCCCGGTGTCCGATTCGGACGGCCACCCAATGCCAGGTAGATTGCCCGAAAGGATGTCACAAGATCTGATACGCCAGGCAATGTTTGATCTTAACTAGCATAACCTTCCCCCCTTGCAAATAATCTAGGGAGTCTGAAAAGCAGCGCCCCCACAAAAACAATTTGGTGGTAGTGGTAGTAGTAGCAGTAGTAGGTAGTCGTTCTAGTTTAGCAAGGGTTTTCAAGGGCAACAATAGCAAAGGAGTAGACAAATCGAGAATTCCTTTAGAAACACCCTGGGTGAACAAAAAACTTAAAACTTAAGATATGCCAGTGAGAAAGCGAGAAGACACACCAAAGAGAACGCCAGGAGGCCCAGAAGGATGTCAGAAGGTTTGCCAGATAGAGTGACGGAATGGGCGTCAGAAGGTTTGCCAGCTAGAACATGCCAGGCCAGAACATATGCCAGACAGAATGGCAGAGAGGATGTCCGCCGAAGTGCCAGATAGACTGCCAGAAGATGTTCTAGAATGTTCTAGATAGAACGCCAGACAGAATACGTGCCAGAAATCATAGAATGCCGGAAAGGATGCCAGAGAATGCCGATATATTTAACTGTATAGGCCAAATGGCAGCGCAATTGCCGCAACACTTGGCAGCGCACACGTTAGAACGAGCCGAAGTCGGACCTTGTATCACAACGAATGTCAGAGCTCATGGTAGAATGCCAGGCAGGATGTCAGAAGATATGATGTGCCAGTTCAAACGCCGGAAGACACGCCACATAGAATGCAGGAAAGGATGTCAGAAGTCAGAAGATATGCCGGTTTGAATTTCATAAGATGCGCCAAAATTATTTGGCAGAATATATTGCAGAAAGGGTGTCCGAAGATAAAGATGACAAAGTGTGGAATGCCAACCGATGGGCCAATTAGACTTTTAGAAGGGATGCCAGAAGACTTGCCAGATAGGATGTCAGAAGGCATGCCAGAAAGGACCAAAAATAGATATATAATCTATTTAACTATTCCAGGGAATATATTTTCAGAAGGTTGGGGTAGGTCAAGGGTCCCTTGGAATAATTTTCAACAAAATCTCTATAACTAGAGGTCAGTGAGTTGATGTGAATTGTCAGAAAGCATTGATTGGTCATGATTGGTCGACGCTGCCTCGAAGCTCTTTTGGCAGGGGAATGCAAAAGGAGCACAGTGAAAACATAGCAGATGACAGCACTAGGTAGAGTAGAATGATGTAGATTGAGGAGGGCATCAAAGCGTGAGAGCCAGAACGTACGTGTCAGGTGGCCTCAAGAATAATCATTAGGCCATCCATCCTTGGCATACTTTCGCTGACACAGTGATGGCTAACTCATCTAACTCAGCCTAACCTGTATACAATCTCTTCAGTTCTGGTAGGGGCCTAGAATGATATCACCTGCCCTGTTTGCCTCTATACCTAACCATGTCTGCCATTATGCCTCACCCAAAACCCATCACAAAATCCTTAAACCTCCAGCTTTCCCAACCCATACCATAAGACTTGCTAATATTTTTCATTCTGCTCTCTATTTCCTGCACAAGATAAATTATTCCAGGGGTGGTTCTGTTCTGGTGGGGCCCTGGAATAATATCACCTGCCCTGTCTGTCCCTGGAAAGAAGAAACCAACCCAAAACATCAAACCTGAGCAAGCTTTCCAACCCTACACCACAAACTTTACTAGTTTTTTGCGCTCCTAGATCCTAAACTAACCCAAAGATACCAACCCCTGACCAGAGGCCTTACTAGTTTTTGCCCTCCTGTATACAGTCTCCTGAGGCATAGTGGCAGACATGGTTAGGTATAGACGCAAACAGGGGAGGTGATATTATTCTAGGCCCCTACCAGAACTGAACCCCTGGAATCATGTCTGTGGGTTATGTAGATTGTATACAGGAGGGCAAAAACTAGTAAGGCTTCTGGTTAGGGGTTGGCTTACTCCTACGTGCGGCCTCGCAGGGGTTCTGTGGCAATGCCTCATTAATTATTCCAGCAACTGAAGCACTCCCAGAATAATTTTCAGAAAACCATGTCGAGGGGGGGGCAGAACAGTTTCCAAATTATTCCTAGGGGGCTTGAGAGAGGGGGCGACTAAATAATCCCATATCCAAAAATATGCCAGAAAGAATGTGAGAAGCTCTCCAGATAGAATGCAAGAATGTCAGTGGTGATCCGGAAGTCGTTATCCAGCCGCGTGGTTCGTGATTCATTTCGTGTTTCGCAGCCAGGCGGTTCGTTACCCAGCCGGGCGATTCGCAATTCATTTTATGCGTCGTACTTCCCGATTCGTATTCGTCTCGTGCTTCAAGATCCCTGATCGTCCCTGACCCTGAGCATGATTCTTGATTCATGATTCATCGTTTGCGTCCATAGCCTCAAGATCCCTGACCCTGAACGTGATGATTCGCGATTCGTCGTTTGTGTCTTTCAATCTAGAGACCCCTGGACCTGAGCGTGATTCGCGATATATAAGTGATTCCTTGTTTGTGTCTCTAACCTTGTGACCCTTGAGCGTGATTCGCGATTCGTGATTCGTAGTCTGCGAGGCTAGGCTCGAAATCTCGCACCCTGAGCGTGGCTCGTGATTTGGTATTCGCGATTCGTCGTTCGCGGCCCTGTCTTGGAGCTTCTCCGGATCACGTCTCCAGAATGTATGAATGTATAGCAGGAAGAATGCCAGAAATCATGTCAGAAGATTTGCCAGAAAGGGTGTCACAAGATGCGGTAGCTAGAATGCCAGATAGAATGCCAAAGCGTGTCAGAAGATATGCTAGACAGAAGCAAACAGAATGCCAGAAGATCCCTACCCTCTTCAGCTACTGCCGGGAGGGGGGACCTCAAAAAAGCAAGTTACATTTCAGGGTAAAAAATGTAAGTTACCCCCCCCAGGCACCATCGAAACAGGTAGGGAGGGGGGGCACAAAAATGTAACTTGTTGCCTGGGACGTGCTTACTTACATTTTACCCCCCCGCGTAGGAGGGGTCGGCTTACATTCGTTTACCACCCCTAGGGTGCGTTGGCAGATCGAAGGGATGTGTGGGGGATATGTGAGACTGTGGCGAGTATGAAATCTGCAAGTCACCTTTTGGAATCAGAATCACGAAAGGTGAGATTTGCAGACGTCAAAAATTGTAACGTACAATTAGTCCACGCATCCAAACCCTCAGATTTTACAGGGAATACATGGATTATGTGAGAAAGTTTGACTTCTCAAATTGTAACTTACATTTTTGCAACGTGCCCAACTCCTCAGAATTTACAAGGAATTGGGGTGTCCCCAGAGTTACGTACACTTTAGCAGCTTTTGCATACTGAAAATTACACGCGTCCGACGCCACGAAGCACAAGCAGGGGGCAAGAGACCAGGGGGCCAAACAGCTTCCAAAAGTTCAACAGCCGAAAGGCCAACTCTGACAGAAACCGCTCCCGGAGCACAGAGACCGGGGGAGAGGAGAAGAAGTAGAAAAAGTAGCTAGTTAATTTCTAAATTTTAGATAGTTTCCGGGTCATATTCCTTCAGTGCCTGTCTTCCCTTGATGTTTGAAGAGTTTTGAGAGCGTTTCTTAAAATTTGGAATCTGCACGTGTGGGACATGGTCTTCCCGAGGACTTTCGTGTATTCTTTTTCCCGAGAGCATTTGCGAAGGGTTTTTCGTAAAAAAGCATCTGTAGAACTACGTCTCATCTACATCTCTGCTCATCTTCACATCTGCGCATCTTCACATCTGTACATCTACATCTTCACATCTGCGCACCTACATCTTCACATCTCACATCTGCGGATCCTCTCGCTCTTCTTTTTTTTCTCTCTCAAGGCGGTTCCGGCGCCGCCGGAGCACCACGAAACGTAACCCTCTGCGGAGATTGCGCGCGTCGAGGGCGCGAAGCGCAGGTGAGATTGCGTTTTGGCCCGGTCGGCGCAACCCTCTGCGGAGATCGTGCGCGTCGAGGGCGCGAAATGCAGGTGAGATTGCGTTTTGGCCCGGTCCGGCGCAACCCTCTCCGGAGATCGTGCGTGTCGAGGGCGCGAAATGCAGGTGATTGCGTTTTGGATTGGTCGCGCTTCACTTTTGGAGGAAGTCTCGTACGAAACGCTCGTTTGGAGACTTGGCGCTTCACTTTTGGAGGAAGTAGCGCTCGTTTTGGAGACTTGGCGCCTCACTTTTGGAGGAAGTCTCGTACGAAACGCTCGTTTTGGAGACTTGGCGCTTCACTTTTGGAAGTCTCGTACGAAGCGCTCGTTTTGGAGACTTGGCGCTGCACTTTTGGAGGAAGTCTCGTACGAAACGCTGGTTTTGGAGACTTGGCGCTTTGGCGCTTCACTTTTGGAGGAAGTCTTGTACGAAACGCTCATTTTGGAGACTTGGCGCTTCACTTGTGGAGCTGGACTCAGACCTGGCCAGTTTGTAGTAGTGCGGGAAAGAGCTTATGGGAGCTGGACTCAGAAGCTTTTCGGAGCTGGATTCAGGCCTGGCCAGTTTGTAGTGCAAATGTAGTCCGGGAAAGGGCTTTTGTGAGCTGGACTCAGAAGTGGTCAGTTAGTTCGTAGTACAAATGTAGTCCGGGAAACAGCGTTGTGGAGCTGGACTCAGAAGTGTTTGCTTCTAGTGTGATATGATTGCTTCTAGTGTGTGGGGAGACCGTGTGGCGAATTACGTTCGTGATGTCGCAGTGCCATGCGGATTTGCGAGGTCTTGGTGGGAAGTGCGTTTGCGTGGCGCCGTACGTGCCACTGGGGAGCGCGAAACATGCTGGTGTAAACGCGGCGTGTCGCTGGTGAGCGGGATGATTGGCGGTATCGTGCGATATGATTGCTGTAGTGTGTGGGCAGACCGTGTGGCGAAATTACGTTCGTGATGTCGCAGCGCCGCGCGGATTTGCGGGGCCTTCGTGGAGACTACGTTTGCGTGGCGCCGTGCCACTGGGGAGCGCGAAACATAAACGCAGCGTGCGGCGGTATCGTGTGATATGATTGCCTGACCGTGCGGCGAAATTACGTCCGTGATGTCGCAGTGCCATGCGGATTTGCGTGGCCTTGGTGGGAAGTGCGTTTGCGTGGCGCCGTGCGAAACATGCTGTGTAAACGCGGCGTGTCGCTGGTGAGCGGGATGATTGTCGTGTAATAGGCTTGGATTGCTTCTAGTGTGTGGGCAGAACGTGTGGCCACATTACGTCCGTGATGTCGCAGTGCCATGCGGATTTGCGCGGCCTTGGTGGAAAGTGCGTTTGCATGGCGCCGTGCCACTGGGGACGCAGTATCGTGCGATAGGATTGCTTCTAGGGTGTGGGCAGACCGTGTGGCGAATTACGTCCGTGATGTCGCAGGGCCATATTCACGCGGCCTTGGTGGAAAGTGCGTTTGCGTGGGGCCGTGCCACTGGGGAGTGCGAAACATGCTGGTGTAAACGCGGC